AATGAAAATTATAATTCAGATGACAGGTTCCATTAATCAATTAATTAATTAATGAAATTAGGACATCCCCGAGCATAGGGTAATTAATTAATTAATTAATTAATTAATTAATTAATTGAATTAGGACATCCCCGAGCATAGGGTAATTAATTAATTAATTAATTAATTAATGAAATTAGGACATCCCGAGCATAGGGTGAATAATTAATTAATTAATTAATTAATGAAATTAGGACATCCCCGAGCATAGGGTAATAATTAATTAATTAATTAATTAATGAAATTAGGACATCCCCGAGCATAGGGAAATTAGGACATCCCCGAGCATAGGTAAATAATTGATTAATTAATTAATTAATTAATGAAATTAGGACATCCCGAGCATAGGGTAAATAATTAATTAATTAATTAATTAATTAATTAGGACATCCCGAGCATAGGGTAATTAATTATTAATTAATAATGAAATTAGGACATCCCCGAGCATAGGGTAATTAATTAATTAATTAATTAATGAAATTAGGACATCCCGAGCATATAAATAATTAATTAATTAATTAATTAATTAATGAAATTAGGACATCCCCGAGCATAGGGTAATTAATTAATTAATTAATTAATGAAATTAGGACATCCCCGAGCATAGGGTAAATAATTAATTAATTAATTAATTAATTAATGAAATTAGGACATCCCCGAGCATTAAATAATTAATTAATCAAATTAATTAATTAATTTAATTAATTAAATTAGGACATCCCGAGCATAGGGTAATTAATTAATTAATTAATTAACTAATTAATTAAATTAGGACATCCCCGAGCATAGGGTAACAGCGTAGGATTCCCCGCTGAGCATCCTGCCTCCCGTAGGATCTGCGGCAGTGACCTCCGTCGCGTACGCCTTGCAAGGATGGAGGCCAAGGATTTCGTAAAATGGGTCGGTAGTTCTCTCGCACGCTCGCTGGTCCTGGGTCCTTCCTACCTCGGAGTAGCATACCTGTAATTAAGGTAAAAGTTTTTTTGGGGGGTTAAGATGGAGAACGGTAGGGGGAAGGGAGGTTGGGGAGGGAGGGAGGGAGGAAGGGAGGAAGGGAGGGAAGAGGAGGGAGGGAGGGAGGGAGAAGAGAGAGAGGGAGGAGGAGAGGAGAGAGAGAGGGAGGGGGCGGGGAGGGAGGGAGGAAAACGGGGCGGGGAGAGAGGGAGAGGAAGAAAGACAAGAAGGAAGAGAGTAAGATGGAGGAATATGGAGATAGAAAGGGAGAAAGAACGAGAGGAAAGAAGAGAGTATGGACGGAGAGGAAGAGCGGATAGTGGAAATAAAGTGAGAGAAAGAAAGTAAGGAAGAGAGAGAGAGGGGGGAGAAATAGACAGGTAAAAGGAAGACGGGAGGAAGGGAGGGAGAGAAGAAAAGAAGACATGGAGAAAGAAAGAGGGAAAAGGGAAGAACTAGGAGACGGAAAGAGAAAGAAAGGGGGAAAACGAGATGATGAACGGAATAAGGAAGAATGGAAGGAAGGAGGAAAGGGAGATGGAGAGAGAGAGAGCGAATGAAAGGGAGAGGGAGAACACGAGATGGCGAGAAAATGAGGGAATGTAACAGGGAGAAAAGAGATGAAGAGAAAGAGAATGGAAAGCAGGGAGAAGAAAGAAACGGAGGAGGAGATGGAGAGGAAAAAAGGAAGGGAAAGAGAGAAGAGAAAATATAGAGGTGCGCCGAAGGAAGGAAGGTGGGAGACAGATGAAAAGACACAGAAGATGGAAACGAAGGAAGAGAGGAAGGAAAGTGAGGACAAACAGAGACACAGATAAATAAACAGAAAAGTTGTGGACGGAGAGACAGATAATAAAATACAAAGATGCGATTTTTTTCCTGATTATTATCGCTAAAAGTGAAAATGGCATGAAAATCAGATGCTGTAAATAAACAAAAAAAAATACATTACCTGGTAACTCGTGGCATCAGTCTGGGGCCATGTTAGGGCCACACTCGTGCTGTGAGGGACGAAGTTCAGAGACGAATCCGCTGTTGAGAAAGAGAGAAAGAGAGATAATGAATAATTAAAGGGATGGATCAACTGAGAAATAAATAAGAAGATGATGCATGTATATCGTTCTTATGCCTTATTCTCGTGCGTAGAACCCAATGAATATTCATTATACGGACATACATATTTACTGGATTAAATACCCATCTATCAATCTATTCATGCGTATCTATCGGATAGAAATAGATAGATTAAATACATATCTACCAGCTCATTGGATAGAAATACCTTTATGTCTGTGAATATGCAAGTATACATTGAAAAATTTATAGGGTAGAGCCTCCTGCAAATTTTGACAAACGTACACCACATTTACCACCCCACCACCACACCACCACACCCACCTCCTCTCCCCCTGGGCAGACCGTCGCAGAGAGTGACACCATAGAACTCGAGCTTGGCACTCTGCATTCCCGACGGCGAAAGGGCTGCCACGTCCGCAATATAGGCCTCGCACTCCCCCAGGCCCTGCATTGTGTAGAAGGTGTCAGCTGTTCGCTCGCAGAGGCCGGAGCTCGGGTCGGTCCCCACTTCGAAGTAGCACACCTGGGAGGCGTGGGTTTTGGAGTTTTTTGGAATTGGGGTTTTTGGAAGTTGGGTTTTTTGGTGTTGGAGTTTTTTGGTTTTAGAGTTTTTTTGGTAGGGTGATTTTGGAATTGGAGTTTTTTGTAATTGGGTTTTTTTTTTTTTGGTATTGGAGTGTTTGGTATTGGAGTTTTTTTGGTATGGGAGTTTTTGTATTTGGAGTTATTGTATGTGAATTTTTGAATTGGAGTTTTTTGGAATTGGAGTTTTTTGGTATGGTGATTTTTGGAATTGGGGTGTTTTTGTACTAGAATCTTTTTTAAATTGGTATTTGGAATTGGACTTAAAGACTGAAATGATATTAAGATTGAAACTGAGTTTGAAACTTTAGTTGAAGTTGGAGTTAGAGTTGACCTTGAACACGAACTTGAGACTGAAATCGAAACGAATTAAAGTTGAAAATTTGAAATTAAAAGTTTGATATTGGGAATGTACCGAGAAAAATGGATTATTTATAAAGGAAAGTGTGAGTTGTAAATCTACTGAGGACTGTGTTGTGTTTGTATTGCGGGCACTGTATTGTGTACGTACTGAGAAAAAAATGAGTCGGGTGTGTATTGAGGACAGCGAGGTGTATGTGTGTTAAGAGTGTTGTGTATCCTATGAGGAGTGTATTCTGATTGCACTGGGGAGTGTGTGTTGCGTGTGGATAGAAAAAAGTGCTTCTATATGTTACTGACAAGAGTGTGTCGCTGTTTTTATTACGAAAATGTGTATACATTGAGAGAGAGTGTGTTGTTGTATGATCAGTTCCTCTGATTTTGCATTCTCATTTATTCTTTGTCTATATTCTTGGTATATCAGCTTTTCTTATATCTATATTAATATCATGTATCTATATTGTATATCTATATTAATATCCTATATGCAGTATCATAATCGTATCCCACTATTTCATATTTTTGTCCTTTCCCATGGGCGCGCCCTAGCTCTATGGTTTTGTTTCTTTATTAGTGGTATTAATACATCCCCATGTTTATAAATATCTACACGCGACATCCTATCTATATATCTATTACATTTTCTTCGCTCCCCCCTCAACGGCTTCCCTCTTTATCTCCCCCTTTTTCGTCTATTACAGTAAAATTCCTATCTATTTCAATTTTCATAATTCACTTCATCCATATAGTTATTTTTTTTATTTTTATCGCTTCTGTCGTTTCTTTGGATAACTTTCTAATTCCTTTCCTTAAACAAACGCCTACTTTTACCTCTCCTCTTCTATCTCCTTTTTTTATTTTCCGTTTTCCTTCTATCCTTCTTCATTACCCCCCCCATTTCAATAAACTTTCCTATCCTCTCCTATTCTTTTTTTCATCCTCTCTCCCTTCGTCACGTGCTTCCTCGCCCCTTTTTTCCTAATCTATGTTTTTTTCGCTTTTCCCTTTTTCTTATATCTTTATCAACTCCCCTTTTCCCCATAACTCTTCTCCTATCCTTCCATCTATTCTCCTTTTTATTCCCCCTATCCTCATTTATTCTTTCTTTCTCATCCTCCCTATTATATCCCGATCTTCCTTTATCCTCCTCTATCCTCACATTCTATCTCTCTTATCCCCCTATCCTCACCTATCTCCTTTTATCCTCCCTATACCTCTCTATCTTCTTTTATCCTCCCTATCCTCTTCTCCTCCTTTTCCTTTATCCTCCCTATCCTCTTCCATCTTCTTTTTATCCTCCCTATCCTCCTCAATCCCTTTCCTTTTATCCTCTCTCCTTCTTCGTCAAGTGGCTCTCGCCCTTTTGTTTCCTATCTATATTTTTTTTCGCTTTTCCCTCCTTTCTTAGTCCATCAACCACCATCCCTTAACTCTTCCTAATCTTCTTGCATCTTCCTCTTATTCCCCCCTATGCTCTTTCTATCTTTCCTCTCTGCTTCTCTTATCTTCTCTATCTTCTTATCCTCCCTATCCTCTTCTATTTTCCTTTTATTTCCTCTCTCCTCTTCTATCTTCTTTTATTCGCTCTTTTCCCTCTTGTATTTCTTTACCTCCCATATCCTTTCTATCTTCTTTATCCTCCTATTCCTCTTCTCTTTTATTCCTCCCTATCCTTTTCCTATCCTTCCTCTATACTCCTATCCTCTTCTCTTTTATCCTCCCTATCCTCTTCTATCTTCCTCTTATCCTCCCTATCCTCTTCAATCTTCCTTTTTATCCTCTCTTCCATCTTATCCTCCCTATCCTCTTGCATTCTTCTTTTTATCTTCCCTACTCCTCTTTATCCTCTCTCCCTCTTTCTATCTTTTCTCTTTATCCCTCCCTATCCTTTTTCAATCTTCCTCTTATCCTCTCTTCCCCTCTTATCCTCACCTATCTCTTGCATCTTCTTTTTATCCTTTTCTAATCAAATCTTTTCCTCTCTCCCTCTTCTATCTTTTCTCTTATCCTCCCTATCCTCTTTCAAGTCTCCCTTTTTATCTTCTCTCCCTCTTATCCTCCCTTATTCCTCTTGCATCCTTCTTTATCTTCCCTATCCTCCCTATCCTCTCTCCCTCTTCTATCTTTCTCTTATCCTCCCTATCCTCTTCAATTTTCCTTTTTATCCTCTCTCCCTCTTTATCTTCCCTTCCTCTTTCATCTTCTTTTTATCCTTCTATCCTTTCCTACCTCTCTCTTCTTCATCTTCTTATCCTCCCTATCCTCTTTCAATCTCCTTTTTATCCTCTCTCCTCTTGTATCCTCCCTTTTTTATCCTCCCTATCCTCTCTATCATCCTCCCTACCCTCTTCTATTCTTCCTCTATCCCTCTTCTTATCTTTCTCTTATCCTCCTATCCTCTGATTCCTTCCCTATCAATCTTCCTTTTTATCCTATCTCCCTCTTATCCTCCCTTAATCCCTCCTATTCTCCTTTTTTATCCGCCCTATCCTTTCTCTTTCTTCTTATCCCCTTCCCTCTTCCAATCTTCTCTTTATTCCTCCCTATCCTCTTTTTCTCTTCTTCTTATCCCTCCCTATCCTCTTCCATCTTTCTTTTTATCCTCCCTTTCCTCTTCTTATCTTCCTCCTATCCTTCCCTTCCTCTTCCTATCTTCCTCTTATCTCTCCCTATCCTATCTCGCTCTTCTTCTTTCTATCCTCCCTCTCCCTCTCTTCCTCTTCATCCCTCTTCTATCCTTCCTCTTATCCTCCCTATCCCTCTTTCATCTTCCCTATCCCCTCTCCCTCTTTTATCTTTCTATCCTTCCTCCTCCTCCATCTTCCCTTCCCCCTCTTCTATCTTCCTCCCTATCCCCTCTCCCTCTTCTATCTTCCTCCCTATCCCCTCTCCCTTCTTTCTATCTTCCCTCCCCTATCCCCTCATCCCTTCTTCTATCTTCCTCCCTATCCCCTCTCCCTCTTCCATCTTCCCCCTATCCCCTCTCCCTCTTCCATCTTCCTCCTAGTCCCCTCTCCCTCTTTACATCCTCTTATCCTCCCTATCCTCTTCTATCTTCCTTCTTATATCCTCCCTATCCTCTTCTATCTTCCTTTTTATCCTCCCTATCCTCTTCTATCTTCCTCTTACATCCTCCCTATCCTCTTGCATCTTCTTTTTATCCTCCCTATCCTCTTTTATTTCCTCTCTCCTCTCATCTTTCTCTTATCCTCCCTTCCTCTTCAATCTTCCCTATCCTCGTCAATCTTCCTTTATCCTCCCCTACCCTCTTCAATCTTTCCCTTTTTATCCTCTCTCCTTCTGTATCTTCCCTATCCTCTTCCATCTTCTTTTATCCTCCCTATCCTCTTCAATCTTCCTTATCCTCTTCAATCTTCCTTTTTATCCTCCCTATCCTCTTCTATCTTCCTTTTTATCCTCCCTCTCCCTCTTTCTATGCTTCCTCCCATATCCCCTCTCCTCTTTATCTTCCCTACTCCCCTCTCCCCTCGCCAAGTGGTTCTCCTTCCTTTCTCCCTCCTCACCTCGTACCTCTCGAAGCTGCCAGAGGACGTGGTCAGTTCTAGGTCAGCGGATGCCACGAGATGGTTGATGCTGGTTTCCGTTGGCGTCAATTTCTGTCCCTTGTAAAGGTATTCCGGGTTCTGTTGGGGAGAGGGGCGTTGGGGTTGAGGCTTTGGCTTGGGTTGGGTGGAGGCGGGTTGGGGTGAGGGCTTGGGGTTGGGGTGAGGGCCGGGTGGTGGGGTGAGGGCCGGTTTTGGGGGTGGAGGGCTGGGTTGGGTGAGGGCCGGGCTTTGGGGTAGGCCGGGTTGGGGTGAGGGGCTGGGTTGGGGTGAGGGCTGGGTTGGGGTAGGGCCGGGTTTGGGTGAGAGGCCGGGTTGGGGTGAGGCGGGGTTGGGGTGAGGGCTGCGGTTGGGGTGCAGGGCCGTGGTTGGACGTGAGGGCTGGGTTGCAGGTAGGCGGTCTGGGGTGAGGGCTGGCTGGGTGGGCTGAGGGGTTTTGTTTTGAGATGGGGTTTTTGTTTTTGTGGTGGTTTGGGTTAGTTGAGGGCTATTTGTGGGTTTGGGTTTAGTTGAGGGCTATTTTTTGGGGTGGGGGGATTGGGGTTTATGGAGGGCTATTTTTATTATTATTTATTATTATTATTATTTATTTTTCGTGGTATTTTATGTTGAGGCCTATTTTCTGTCGGGGTTTGGGTTTAGTTTAGGCCTATTTTTTCGTGGTTATTTTTAGTTTAGTCGAGGCCTATTCTTTCTCGTGCGGATTTGGGTTTGTTGAGGGCTTTTTCTGTTTTGTTTTATTATTTTTTCGTGGGTTTGGTTTAGTTTGAGGCCTATTTCGTGTTTATTTAGGTTTAGCTGAGGCTTATTATTTATTAATTTTTTTAATTCTTTGTTGGGATTTGGATTTAGTTGAGGCTATTTTATTTTTTATGGGGTTTTGGTTTGGTTTAGTCCTATTTTTTGTTATTTTTTAGGGGTTTTTTGGTTTTTAGTTAGCCTATTTCTTTCGACTTTCGAGGGATTAGTTCAGTTAGAGGGCCTTCTTTTTCTTATTTTTTATTTCCCCTTTTGTGGGATTTGGGTTAGTTGATTTCTATTTTTTTTATTTCTTGGATCGTTGCCTAATCTGTTCTATTCATAGATATTTTAGTGAAATCTGTGTTTATCTGAGGCGTATTTCCAGATGTTTTTTTTTTTTTGAGATTTCCTTGTTTATCTGACGGCCTATTCAAGATATTTTGGTGAATTTTTGTAATGATTTAAGCCTTATTTTTTAGATATTTTTGTGTTTTCGTTAAGCCTATCTATAAACATTTCTTCTTAAAGGCCTATCTATAAAACATTCTCTTAAGGCCTATCTAATAAACATTCTCTTAAGCCTATCTATAAACATTCTCTTGAGGCCTATCTATAAACATTCTCTTGAGGCCTATCTATAAACATTCTCTTAAGGCCTATCTATAAACATTCTCTTTAGGCCTATCTATAAACATTCTCTTAAGGCCTATCTATAAACATTCTCTTTAAGGCCTATCTATAAACATTCTCTTGAGGCCTATCTATAAACCTTTCAGGCCTATCTATAAACATTCTCTTAAGGCCTATCTATAAACATTCTCTTAAGGCCTATCTATAAACATTCTCTTAAGGCCTATCTATAAAACAGGCCTATTCTTAAGGCCTATCTATAAACATTCTCTTGAACATTCCTTTATCTATAAACATTCTCTTAAGCCTATCTATAAACATTCTCTTCTCTATCTATACAGGCCTATCTATAAACATTCTCTTAAGCCTATCTATAAACATTCTCTTAAGGCCCTATCTAAAAACATTCTCTTTAAGGCCTTAAGGCCTATCTATAAACAAATCTATAAACATCTCTTAAGGCCTATCTATAAACATTTCTCTTAACTATCTATAAACATTCTCTTAAGGCCTATTCTCTATAAACATTCTCTTCAGGCCTATCTATAAACATTCCTTAAGGCCTATCTATAAACATCTCTTAAGGCCTATCTATAAACATTCTCTTAAGCCTATCTATAAACATTCTCTTTAAGGCCTATCTATTAAACATTCTCTTAAGGCCTATCTATAAACATTCTCTTAAGGCCTATCTAAAGGCCTATCTATAAACATTCTCTTAAGGCCTATCTATAAACATTCTCTTAAGGCTATCTATAAACATTCTCTTAGGCCTATCTATAAACATTCTCTTAATCTATAAACATTCTCTTAAGGCCTATCTATAAACATTTCTCTTAAGGCCATCTATAAACATTCTTAAGGCCTATCTATAAACATTCTCTTAAGGCCTATCTATAAAAGGCCTATCTATAAAACATTCTCTTTAGGCCTATCTATAAACATTCTCTTAAGGCCTATCTATAAACATTCTCGCCTATCTATAAACAAGGCCTATCTATAAACATTCTCTTAAGGCCTATCTATAAACATTCTCTTAAGGCCTATCTATAAACATTCTCTTAAGGCCTATCTATAAACATCTCTTAAGGCCTATCTATAAACAATATAACATTCTCTTAAGGCTCTTATCTATAAACATTCTCTTAAGGCCTATCTATAAACATTCTCTTCTATCTATAAACATTCTTAAGGCCTATCTATCAGGCCTATCTATAAACATTCTCTTAAGGCCTATCTATAAACATTCTTCTTAAGGCCTATCTATAAACATTCTCTTAAGGCCTATCTATAAACATTCTCTTAAGGCCTATCTATAAACATTCTCTTAAGGCCTATCTATAAATTCTCTTAAGGCCTATCTATAAATTCTCTTAAGGCCTATCTATAAACATTCTCTTGAGGCCTATCTATAAACATTCTCTGAGGCCTATCTATAAACATTCTCTTAAGGCCTATCTATAAACATTCTCAAGGCCTATCTATAAACATTCTCTTAAGGCCTATCTATAAACATTTTCTTAAGGCCTATCTATAAACATTCTCTTAAGGCCTATCTATAAACAAGGCTTACTATAACATTCTCTTAAGGCCTATCTTAAGGCCTATCTATAAACATTCTCTTAAGGCCTTATCTATAAACATTCTCTTAAGGCCTATCTATAAACATTCTCTTAGGCCTATCTATAAACATTCTTAAGGCCTATCTATAAACTAAGGCCTATCTATAAACATTCTCTTAAGGCCTATAAACAAGGAGGGGTAACATTCTCTTAAGGCCTATCTATAAACATTCTCATGGGATCTGAGTTTATTTAAAGCCTATATATATATATATATATATATATATATATATATATATATATATAATATATATATATATATATATATTATATATAGTTATTTCCATGAGCCTTGTTTTTTGCCAAAACTTTTCTATATATTTTTTTAAATTTGAGTTATAAGGTCTAAATAAATCAATAAAAGGTAGATAGAACAATATGTCATGAACGTTAATAAATATGTAAATATTGTGTGAATATTGTTTTTTTTTTACAGTATTTCATGGAGATAATTCATATCCCACGATTCAGTCAAAAAGATGAACAAGCAACATAATACCATTGAACTGATCTTTATCGGGAGAGAAGGAGAACAACATTCAATGGAGGAAAATATGTGAACTAATTTAGAGGAAAAAATATGAGTAATAGAGTCATAATTCTTAGTGTTAATTCATAAATCTTAAGTTTTGTTGCGAGGTAAACGGCATCAGTGAGACAACAGAAAAAATATGGATAGTTTTTTACATCAAGGAAACTTTAATATGTAACAACGATGCGCGAATGAAACCAAAAAAAGATAAATACACACATGCAAAAAAAAAGAAGAAAAAAAAAAAAAAAACAAACAACCAAAACAAAAACAAACCCACAAACAAACAAACCAAAAACAAAAAGACATTCCGAACCCACCTTTATCGAGAGTAACGGCGTCGGTGTAGGCCGGGAAGCCAGCCATGTCCGTCCCGTGGTAATCGAACACAGGGGTCAAGTTGAACGCCTGGAACGAACACGGGTCCACGTACGTCACGAGCGCCCGGCAATACAACTGCGGGCGGGGAATGCAATTGCTGGGAGATTGCGAGGTTTGCAGGGCAGGACAGTTGAGGCTGGGGTGGGTGGGGGGTGGGGGGGGAGGAAAGGGGGTAGGGGGGAGTGGGAAGGAGGTTGCAGGGCGGGACGCTTGAGGCTGGGGTGGGTGGGGGGGGTGGGAAGGAGGGGGAGGGGAGGAAAGGGGGAGGAGGGGAAGGAGGGGGGGAGTGGGGAGGGTAGAAGGAAGGGAGGGTAAGGGTAGAAGGGAGGGGAGTAAGGGAGGGTGGGGAGGGGTAAGAGTAGAAGGGAGGGGAGTAAGGGTGGGTGGAGGGGTGGGGGAGGGGAAGGAGGGGTGGGGGTGGGGGAGAGTGGATGAGGAGGGGAGTGGGGAGGGACTGAGGGGGAGGAGGGGGGAAGGGTAAGGGTAGAAGGGAGGGGAGTAAGGGAGGGGAGGAAAGGGGGTGGGGGCGGGAGGTTGGATGAGGTGGGGAGTGGGGAGGGACTGAGGGGAGGAAGTAAGGGTAGGGGAGGTTGGATGAGGAGGGGAGTGGGGAAAGACTAATAGGAGGAGGGGAGGGGTAAGGGTAGAAGGGAAGGGAGTAAGGAGGGTGGGGAGGGGAGGGGAGGAAAGGGGGTGGGGGCGGGAGGTTGGATGAGGTGGAGAGTGGGGAGGGACTGAAGGGAGGAGGGGAAGAGCTAAGGGTAGAAGAGAGGGTGGGGAGAGGAAGGGGAGTTCGGAGGGAGTAAGCGGGTTGGGGAGGGGAGCAAGGGAGGTTGGGGAGGGGAGGGGGTAAGGGAGAAGAGAGGGTGGGGAGAGGAAGGGGAGTTGGGAGGGAGTAAGCGGGTTGGGGAAGGAGCAAGTGATGTTGGGGAAGGGAGGGGGTAAGGGGAGAAGGGGAGAGGGTATGAGGATAGATTTCATGATAAGTGTTTGCAGACGACGATGTGGAGTGACATTTTATAGTTCGCGTGTGACAGGCTGAGGAGCATTCTGTGTTCGCGACATTGTAAAATCCTATTGTGTTTTGGGTTCGAGGAAAGGTGCTGTATGTTCGTGAGTTTATGAGACACTGTATGAGATGATATATTAGGGGCCCTGTTAAGTATAGAGAGTATGAGATGATATATTAGGGGCCCTGTTAAGTATAGAGAGTATGAGATGATATATTAGGGGCCCTGTAAAGTATAAACAAGTCGGGGATATTTATGTGTAAAATAGATATTTATGTGTAAAATCCTGTTGTGTTTTGGGTTCGAGGAAAGGTGCTGTTATGTTCGTGAGTTTATGAGACACTGCATGAGATGATATATTAGGGGCCCTGTTAAGTATAGAGAGTATGAGATGATATATTAGGGGCCCTGTAAAGTATAGAGAGTATGAGATGATATATTAGGGGCCCTGTAAAGTATAGAGGGTATGAGATGATATATTAGGGGCCCTGTTAAGTATAGAGAGTATGAGATGATATATTAGGGGCCCTGTAAAGTATAGAGAGTCGGGGGATATCATGTGTAAAATCCCGTTGTGTTTTGGGTTCGAGGAAAGGTGCTGTACGTTCGTGAGTTTATGAGACACTGTATGAGATGATATATTAGGGGCCCTGTTAAGTATAGAGAGTCGGGAGATATTATGTGTAAAAGGAACACTATCAAGGATAACAATGTTTGAGTGTTGGATACTGTGGTGGAGGGCGTGTCCATGTAAAGGAGGGTATGTATAAGTTGTCGACTTTGGTGAAAATATTTAGCATGTTCTGAGGTTTCCAGGGGAAGTGTGTGTGCGAGTGAGTACTAGTGTTGCATAACACTTGGAAATTATGCTAGAATTATTTTAAAAAGTGATATGATGTCTTGGCTCCGTTATAAATGTAGACTTTAGAATGTCTTGATGAACTGTGACCATCTAAAACAACATCATATAACCTAGTGTTGCTCACATCACGATACCAATCACATATCTGTCATGAAACGTAATTCCCTTAACTCGCATACCTCATCGCGTCCTGACATACCGCCTGTGAATAGAGCAACATACGCAACATACTGTCACACGAAGCAACACATCGACATCAGAAACTAACATCGTGGCAAGTGATGTGCTGAGAGGGAACCCCATTGATGCTGAGGTCGTAGTAATCAATGGCATAGTCAGAGGGCGTGATGTTCCAGTGGAGGACCAGCCACGTCTCACCGACTTGGTCCACCTCGAAGTCGTAGATAAGACCTGGGAGACATACGGCCGGTTTGTTAGAATTGCGCGAGGCCCGACCCAAAGAATATTCGTATACGTGTCATGCATAAATAAAGAAATAAAAGCATATTTATCAGTCTACACATGCATATCAACCGGGCAAAATGATAGTTAAAGGTATAGCTATCAGATATATAGACAGATATTCATTTATTTTTGCTTATATGGATGTCTGTATTTAAGAAAATTCATTGGGTCGGGCCTCACACAATTTTAACAAACCGGCCGATTGAGGATACCCGTAAGATAAAGATATTTGCTACGTACTTTAAAACGTGATGGGAATATTCGTAATGCATCTTAATAACTTAGGTTTCGCTGGGTTGGCTTGTCCTAAAGCCAAAAGGAGATGCTTAAATTGATGCCCAAACTGCATGTATTTCTAGGTTCTCTGTCGAGGGCATTAATGATTACTTTCGTGGATGTAAACGGTGTTTATATTGAAAACAACCACTAATGATAATGATAGTAATAAAGCACCCTAGTCAAATACTATCTTGAAAAGCACTATTCTCACTAACTGCAAATGACATTATTGGACACTCATGAATAAAATACGCATCTATATCTACCAATTACATCATAAGATCATATATTAAAGGGCAGGCTCAATACCATTTGAAGAGAGCATCATACATACCCAAGGTACTTCAGCACTGCCACATGTAACGCTTAGAAGTACCTTGACAACACGCCAATCATTCAGACCTTCACCCTTTCAGTGTTGTCATTTTAGCGATTTTCCCGCTATATCTAGAGTTTTTGAGCTATGATTTTATTATGTCGTTTTTAGCGGGGAAATGAGATTTTACTCATATGTCTAGCGGTTTGTAAGTCTAGTTTAGCGATTTTTAAAAGTCCAGTCTAGCGGGTTTGTGTCGTCTAGCGATTTTTAAGTCCAGTCTAGCGATTTTTAAAAGTCGTCTAACGGTTTGTCTAGGCTAGCGATTTTTAAAAGTCCAGTCTAGCGGTTTTGTGTCGTCTAGCGATTTTTAAGTCCAGTCTAGCGATTTTTAAAAGTCCAGTCTAACGGTTTTGTCTAGGCTAGCGATTTTTAAAAGTCCAGTCTATCGGTTTTGTGTCTAGTCTAGCGATTTTTAATAGTCCAGTCTAGCGATTTTTAAAAGTCCAGTCTAGCGGTTTTGTGGAAATATCAATGGCAACACTAGATCCCAGTCTTACCACCAACTACTCCCATGTCGATGTGGCACTTCCCCACGTTGCCCACGCCGTCCACGCCGATGATGTCGACCTGCGTGGTGCAACAGGTGGCCGTGTAATAGGTCTCCACGTCAGCTGTTGTCCCCGGAAGGAAGTCAGACACGCCGAAGGTGGTGCCCTCAGGGACGGCGTCCACGCGGTACAACCCTGAGGAGTGTTAGTGGGCGTCAAGTTAGTCGTTATGTTTAACTCACAACCCGATGCAGTGTTTTTCCCTAAATTGATATAATGGATTAAATGACTAGATGCTGATATAACGTAAAAATGCGATATATTGATATAATAATATTGATATGGAATGATGTGGAATGACGGCATGACATAATGACACAGTGTAATGATAATATGGCGATAAATAATGATTTGTACAAACGTACTTTGGGAAATGTGAAACTCAAGTGATGGTCTTTAACGTAATAAAAAGGAATATCCATCTATTCATAAAAATCCACGTTTGCCCATTACAAAAAAAAAAAAAATAATAAAAAAATAAAAAAAAAGCAATCTTTTTCCCGGCAGCAGAATGCCCTTTACTTAATAATGGAGATCCTGATCGCTAGACTTTGTAATAACTTCTTTAACTTCAAACTTCCGCGCACCTGATCCTGTGTCTCTGAGCGTGGCACGAACACTCCATTGCAAGGTGTCGCAAATCCCGTTGAAGTTGAAGCCAGTGCAGATCGGATCGTTGACCAAACTGCACGTCGGAGGCTCGAAGTCGGATTCCTGCAATACGAACGATGTCAATTGAATAGCAATTAAGATGACAGTATATCACGAGCGATGGGATGTGACTCTTAACCTGGGGTCCGTGGATGGGTTTCGGGGGTCCGTGAGCACAAAAAATCGCTGTACATATTGAATATATATATTTTTTTTCATTTCTTAGATTGTTTACCTAAATTTCAATAATACTCTGTGGATCTCACATATACATGAAACAAGCAAATATCAACAAATAAAGTATATTATCCACATTGCATGCAAAGTGTTTATGTGAATATTTTATTATTTTAGTGAAAAAGATAATTTTAAGCTGAAATTGTAAATTCTGAGGGAAAATGTGTGGTTTGATTAACAGGCAATGCTAAATCATTGAAAGAATAAAGGTATTTGAAACAATATATGTCTGACCATCGAGATAAATCCAGTAATTAATTAATAACTGAATTTATAAGAAAACATATAATACTTCGTTGTTCAATCCATCAATAAGCGCTAAATTTATCATATTAAATATCTATTAGGCGACTGTCTTCGTGGATATTCAAAATAAATAATTAAATTTATTATAATGATAAAGAAAATCATGATTTTTATGGTTGGATATTCAAATAATAAAAAAAAATCATGCCCTGAGAAATTGAATGATAATAGAAAATATCGTTTTTATTGAAGTGATATTTAAAATAAAATCCAATTTAATATATATATATATATATATATATTTTAAATAACAATATTCTAAGAAATAATCAAATTCATTAAATCGAATTTCATAATAAAAACTATAATTCTTTTGGCAAAGATATTCAAAATAATACAAAAAAAAAGAATAATTTTCCCAGAAATGTTAAAAAGGATCAAACCAAACATAATTTAGATAGAAATGATTTTTAAGAATCGATATTCAAAATGCTAAAATCGAATAAATGAACGAACAAAATCTTTAAAAACGGATCATAACAAAAGAGAAGCCTTATTTAAAAAACGAATCATAACAAAAAGGCATCAACTCTAAAAAACGGATGACAACAAAAGAGGCTAAAACACGGATCACAACAAAAGAGAAGCCTCGCCTCTAAAAAACGGATCACAGCAAAAGAGAAGCCTCTTAAAAAACGGATCACACAAAAGAGAAGCCTCATTTCTAAAAAAAAAATGGATCACAACAAAAGAGAAGCCTCACCTCTAAAAAAAACGGATCACAACAAAAGAGAAGCCTCATCTCTAAATAAAAATGGCTCACAACAAAAGAGAAGCCTCACCTCTAAAAAAAATGGATCACAACAAAAGAGAAGCCTCACCTCTAAAAAAAATGGCTCACAACAAAAGAGAAGCCTCCACTCACCTGCGGAAGAACGACGAAATGCGCAATGGCACTGTTCACGGACTGGGTTTGCTTCTCGCTCTGGGCTGTGACAATCACGGTGCTCACAGTGCCATGGGTGGCATCGAGTGGCACTTGGAAGGTAGCTATGACTGGCAGCGACTGGTTGTTCTTGAGATATATCCTGGAGGAGGAGGAGGGAAGGATTAGGGAAGGAGGAAGGGCGGGGGGGGGGGGGGAGGTTAAGTCGTGGTAGTGTAGGTTGTATCGTACTTTATGATTATTGCTATTATCATCGTTGTAATTTAGTTGCAGATATATCATTGTTGTAATTATATCGTTGTTATTATTATTATGCTCATTATCATCGTTATCATGATTAGTACTATTTTTCTCGCTCTCTCTCTTTCTCGCACACACTCGCCCTCCCTCCCTCTCCCTCCCTTCCTCCCTCCCCTTCCCTTCCTCTACCGCCCCTCACCCCATCCCCTTTCACCCTCCCTCCCTCCTCCCTTCCTCTCCTCCCCTTCAACTACCCGCCCCTCACCCCCCTTTCACCCTCTCTCCTCCTCCCTTACCTCGTAGGCTCAACATTCACGAGGAAACCCATGTCATCCGTGCCATAGATGTTGAAAAAGGACTCGAGACCGTAGTTCGTGACAATGAATTTCGCCGAAGCCGAGTCACCCGGTTTGGCCGAGAGATCCTGCAGGGAAGCCCACACCTCCACGCTCGTCTCCACTGGGGTTATCAGCACGGGCATCATCCGGGTGAACATGTTGCCTGCGAATGGGTGATGTTCGTGTGAATGAATGTGTATGTACTTGCGTGATTTACGGCGTAGAAAAAGAGAGGGATAGAGAAAGGAATGAATATATATTAGAAAGCATAAAGTGAGTTAATCCATGTGTATACACACACACGCGCGCACACACACACACACACACAAACACACACACACACACACACACACACACAACACACGCTCGCACACACACACACCAACAAATAAAAAAAAAATAAAAAAACAAGTACACACAACACAACAAACGAATAAATAAATAAACACAACTAACACACACAACAATAAACAAATGCAACACACCACACGCACACAGACAACCAGACAACCACACACACAGACACCAGATAGACAACCAGACAACCACACACCCACCGACACTAACCTTCCCCCCCAACCCACGCACTGACCTGAACTAACATGACCGAAGAGCTTGATGTAGAAGGAGTGGTCGGGCAGCGGGTCGGTGCGGATGTACATCTGGTCAGCCACGTCTCCTGCGTACGCGATCTCACGCAGAACCGTTCCTGACTGTGGCGCACGAAGATGGAAAGAGAAAGGGAAGATGTGGTAGGTGCTGCTGCTGCTGCTGTTGTTGTTGTTGTTGTTACTGTTACTGTTGTTGTTATTATTATTATTGTTGTTGTTATAGATATTATTATTATTATTATTATAGTTATTATTATAATTTTTCGGAGAACCGTTCCTGACTGTGGCGTACAAAGACGGGGAGAGAAAAGGAAGATGTGGTAAGTGCTGCTGTTGTTGTTGTTGTTGCTGTTATTATTATTATTATTGTTGCTGTTGTTGTTGTTATAGTTATTATAATTTTTCGGAGAACTGTTCCCGACTGTGGCGTACGAAGGCGGGGAGAGAAAAGGAAGATGTGGTAAGTGCTGTTGTTGTTGTTGTTGTTACTGTTATTATCATCATTATTATTATTGTTGTTGTTGTTATAGCTATTATTATTATTGTTATAGTTATTATTATAATTTTTCGGAGAACCTTTCCTGACTGTGGCGTACAAAGGCGGGGAGAGAAAAGGAAGATGTGGTAAGTGCTGTTGTTGTTGTTGTTATTATTATTATTGATGTTGTTATAGTTATTATTATTATTATTGTTATAGTTATTATTATAATTTTTCGGAGAACCGTTCCTGACTGTGGCGTACAAAGATGGAAAGAGAAAAGGAAGACGGGGTAAGTGCTGCTGTTGTTGTTGTTATTGTTGTTATTATTATTATTGTTGTTGTTGTTGTTATAGTTATTATTATAATTTTTCGGAGAACCGTTCCTGACTGTGGCATGCAAAGGCGGGGAGAGAAAAGGAAGATGTGGTGAGTGCTGCTGTTGTTGCTGCTGCTGCTATTGTTGTTGTTGCTGCTGTTATTATCATCATCATTATTATTATTATTGTTGTTGTTGTTGCTGTTATTATCATTATTATTATTGTTGTTGTTGTTATAGTCATTATTATTATTTTTTACTTTTATTACCATTATTATGATCATTATCATTATTATTATGTTTATTATTATTAATATAAATATAGCCATCATCATCGTTATTATTATTATTATTATTATTATATTTATTGCATTATTATTATTATTATTATTATTATTATTATTATTATTATTATTATTATTATTATTATTATTATTATTATTATTATTATTATTATTATCATTATCATTTGTTGTTGTTGTTATTGCTGTTATCATATTTTTCTTGCTGCTATGATTATTGTTGTTGTTATTAGTGTGAGCATTATTATTATTATCGTTGCTCTCGTCGTTCGTGTTATTATCGTTATCATTATCATCATTACAATTACCATCATAATCGTTATCATTTTCTCATCACTCTTATTACCAAAACATTTAAATTACTTATATCATTATTGCAACCATCATTATCATCATTATCACTATCTACTTCCTTCTTACCTTGTCCACAAATTCGACCTTACTGACTCTGGTGACCTCGCTCTCCAGATGACCCACAAGTGTGACCTCCAGGTAATAGACAGTGTCTGGTGGTAAATTAGAGAGTCAGAATTTATGAATGAACGTATGTGGTGGTGTATGAATGAGTGAGAGTAACTGAATTTATGAATGAACTTGCCTGGTTGTAAATGCGTGAGTGAGATAGTAACAATTTATGAATGAACATGTCTCGTGTTGTATGAATGAATAAAACAGTAACTGTATTTATGAATGAACGAATAGATAAGTTATCAAATATGTAGGCAAGTAAATATGAAAATGACTGAGCACAGATGAGACAGATAAATAGATAGACAGACAGATAGTGGCAAAATACCAAGAGCAATTAACTACAATATATATATTATCAGCGATTCAAATGAAAAACAAAATATTGTAACTGCATCATATCTGTCTTTCTTGCCAGACTTGTGAATATATACATACATACATACACACAGACACACACACACACACACACACACACACACACACCACACACACACACACACACACACACACACACACACACACACACACACACACACACACACACATATATATATATATATATATATATATATATATATATATATATATATATATATATATATATATATATATATATATATATATATATATATAGAGAGAGAGAGAGAGAGAGAGAGAGAGAGAGAGAGAGAGAGAGAGAGAGAGAGAGAGAGAGAGAAGAGAGAGAGAGAGACAGAGAGAGAGAGACAGAGAGAGAGAGAGAGAGAGAGAGAGAGAGAGAGAGAGAGAGAGAGAGAGAGAGAGAGAGAGAGAGAGAGAGAGAGAGAGAGAGAGAGAGAGAAAGAAAGAAAGAAAGAAAGAAAGAAAAGAAAGAAAGAAAAGAAAGAAAGAGAGAGAGAGAGAGAGAGAGAGAAAGAAAGAGAGAGAGAGAAAGAAGAGAGAAAGAAAAGAGAGAGAGAAGAGAGAGAGAGAGAGAGAGAAGAGAGAGAGAGAGAGAGAGAGAGAGAGAGAGAGAGAGAGAGAGAGAGAGAGAGAGAGAGAGAGAGAGAGAGAGAGAGAGAGAGAGAGAGAGAGAGAGAGAGACAGACAGACAGAGAGAGGCATGAAGACAACGACAGACAAAAAAACAGACTAAAGACAGACTAAAGATAGATAGGTAGATAGATAGATCGCTAGATTCATAAATAGGCAGACATATACACAGATAAATAAATAGACAGAGCCTGACAGACGAAACAGAATATCCTCCTCCTCCTCCTCCTCCTCCTCCTCCTCCTCCTCCTCCTCCTCTTCCTATTTCTTCCTCACTGGTCAGCGGACGCCCTTCGGTCTTCCGGTAGTGAGGGTGCGGCGGCGACGGGTCCAGGAGGGCGAATTCCCCGAGGAAATCCAGGGAGGACGTGGCGGAGACGGCGAGGGCGTAGTCGACGGAGGCGCTGACGGAGAGGGACCACACGCCGTGGCGAGGGGAGAGGAAGCGAACGGCCAGGAAGGTCCCGGTGTGAGAGATCACCTCCACGCCCGCAGTCGCTTCCAGGGCGGCCTTGTCCGTCAGGTCGTAGGCTGTGCCTGGGGAGGGAGGATGGGGAGAGGAGGGTGAGTAAGGGGAGGGTGGCGAGGAGGGTGAGTAGGGGGAAGAGGGAGAGGAGGGTGAGTAAGGGGAGGGTGGCGAGAGGAGAGGGGGGGGGGGATGGGGAGAGGATAAGGAGGTGGGTGAGTAAGGGGAAGAGGAAAAGGAGGGAGAGTAAGGGCAAGAGGGAGAGGAGGGTGTGAGGATAGGGAAAGAGGGAGAGAAGGAGGATTAAGAGAAGGATGGGGAGAGGATAGGGAAGAGGGAGAGGAGGAGGATGGCGAAAGGATAGGGAAGAGGAAGAGGAGGATGGGGAGTGGGAGAGTGGGAGGATGGCGAGAGGATAGGGAAGAGGGAGATCGAAAAAAATCCTTACCCGTGATGTCAAAGAGCATAGCCTGGCTGAGGACTCCCGTGATGCGAACCTCGAAGTCCAAAATGGAGTCATCGATGGGCAAGGAAACTGAGAGGCTACCCGTCATTTCGGCCAAGCTCTCGAGGGTCACCTGCGGAGGAAGAGGAGGTTGAGGTTGAGGATGAGCTCTCGAGGGTCACCTGTAGAATACGAGGAGGAGGTTGAGGTTGAGGTTGAGTGTCAAGCGCAGTAAACTTTGTCCGTAATAGATGGAAAGAAAAGGGGAGAGAGAGAGAAGGGGGGGGGGGTGGAGAGGGGGGGAGGGAGGGGGGAAGGAGAGGGAGGGGGAAGGAGAATGAGGGGGGGAAAGGAGAAGGAGGAGGGAGGGGAGGGGGGAAGGAGAGGGAGGGAGGGAGGGAGGGGGAGGGGAGGGAGGGAGGGAGGGAGGGAGGGAGGAGGGAGGGGAGGGAGAGGAGAGGAGAGAGAGAGAAGAGAGAGAGAGAGAGAGAGAGAGAGGAGGAGAGAGAGGAGAGAGAGAGAAAGAAGAGAAGAGAGAGAGAGGAGAGAGAGAGAGAGATTTAAGAAGTTTTTAAGATTTAGTTTAATTCCATTTGATACAATGGGATATTCTTTGCTGTGACATATTGTCTGTTTATTTTGCCCAAATCTCCCCTGTGTGCAAGGAGTGGCCGGGGTTACCACTCACTGGCGGGCGTGGATGAACGCGGTCGCAAGATTGCTAGGACCAGCACCTTACCGCTGCGCCAGCACAGCACACGGAAGGAAGGGGAAAGGGAGGGAGGGGGAAGGGGAGGGGGAGGGGGGAGGAGGGGAGTGGAGGAGGAGGGGAGGGAGAAGGAGGAGGGAGAGGGAAAGAGGGAGGGAGGAGGGAGAGGGAAAGAGGGAGGGGAAGGAGAAAGGAGGAGGAGGGGGAGGTGGAGGGAGAGGGAAGGGGAGAAAGAGGGAGGGGGAGAAAGAGTGAGTGAGAGCGAGAGCGAGAGCGAGAGCGAGAGAGAGAGAGAGAGAGAGAGAGAGGAGAGAGAGAGAGAGAGAGAGAGAGAGAGAGAGAGAGAGAGAGAGAGAGAGAGAGAGGGAGAGAGAGAGGAGAGAGAGAGGAGAGGAGAGAGAGAGAAGAGAAGAGGAGAGAGAGAGGAGAGAAGAGAGGAGAGAGAGGAGGAGAGAGAGAGAGAGGAGAGGAGAGAGAGAGAGAGAGAGAGAGAGAGAGAGAGAGAGAGAGAGAGAGAGAGAGAGAGAGAGAGAGGAGAGAGAGAGAGAGAGAGAGAGAGAGAGAGAGAGAGTCGTACATAAAACAAATGAGGGGTCGAACAAGAAAATACAAGAATATTCGTGTGTTTTCTTGTTCTTCCCTTCGTTATTTTATTTGCACCGACTCTCTTTAATATATTTACGTTAAAGATATCTTTGCAATTGTAAACATTACTGCAATAATTCAAGTTAAAAGATGCTAAAAGAAATCCCGTTTCTTATCTTTCACTGCAAATTAACATATCTTACTAATATTCTTTTTGACTTACTTTGTTCAAAGATAACTATACAACTGCTAAGATCACTACAATGCCTTCTTTAAGTTACTGACATTGAAAATATGTATGTAGATGCTTAAAAAAAAAAAAAAACACAGCAAATTCGAACGCAAATTAACATGTTACCATTACTCTTTATAAATCATTTTTCTGGAAAATGTCCAAGATCACTACAATACTCTTTTTAAG